GATTGAAACAATGTACGAAAGGTACAGACTCTGTTTTGCATTGTGTACTCTCTCAGCAAAACCCATCGGATTCGCGGCTGCTCCCCTGCCCGGTGATATGGTCGGTGCTCCCATCGTTAGGGATGAACCGGGATGAACCGATCGCGTGGCTGGCGGTTGTTTTTTACTATATTCATTCGCTTGAGCTTCGAAGAGGAAGAGCATTACCGAGAGATATTATACTTAAATATACGATCGAGGGGAAAGAAAGTAGCGGTGGTTGTTGCCGGTGGCGTGTATGCGCGTGGGATATATGACGGGCAATTGTGCGTGAGAGAGGTATGTGTGTACATACGCGGAGCCAAGAGAAAAGATCGAGTCGAGCGGATTCGAGTAGTTTACTTTCTATACTTACGATTGTCTCGCGCTCGACATATTTATTCCTAATAATATAACCACGAGTGCGTAGTGCAAGGATGGAAGTGGAGAGCGTCGTCTCATTTCTACGCGATCATCGTGCCTTGCACGGGGTAGGTATAGGATATGTGCAGACGGATTGGCAAGTCCCTACTCCCGAGCTTGGAAACTTTCGATTGTAAATTCATACGCCCGTGCGCACGTGTAAGTACGCCTTGACGCGGGATGCGCCCCTGAGGATGATAGCTGGAGAGTGGACACGTTATACAGTGGACATTCGAGGAAAGAAAAGAAATCAAAATCATTTGCTTGTAATTAGGTATTCATTTGTTCGTTTATTTTTTTGTTTTCGAGAGGGCCCGGGCAAACTATAGATTTGGCTGTCACTACAATCTGTCCTTCCCCGACGTAAAAAAGGAATACGAGGAGATGTTATTATTTCGATCGGTTACAACCTGTTATACGACTAACGTGCAAGGGAAAGGAAGAGTGTGATCCTATCGAGGTGTGTCATCTGACTATACACCGAAACGAAAGTAAATTTTTTCTCGCGTGTTTATGAAAGTTGTACCTACCAGGGGCCCTATCCTCTAAACGTGTTGGCAGGCGACATAGCCAATACACAGCTAAAGGAGCTCTCCGATTGGTCGAAATTGACTGTGTTGGCCTGGTGTCAGTTGTGTCACCCACCGACACACTTAGAGGATAGGGCCCCAGCAAACAAACAACACAATGTTTGCGCGAGAAATCGGTAGGTATGAGAATCACCTCATCTGATGATGCTCGATGGCCGTCGGTGAATCATGTATAGGTACTTTTACGTACACTTGTATCAATAATAATAATAATAATATGATATTCTCGTTGCCCTAATTCCGTCATGAGCCTGCACAGTACCTTATACCTATACCTGTCTTCTGCAACATTGTACTCTATAAGCGTACCTATAATATGTATACGTATCATTCATACAATGTACGTAGTATAGGTGTACTTGCACGAGTAAGCTTTCGCCACAACTGATGCGACGATGGGAATTTTTTCCTTTTCATCTCTCGAGCGAGTATTCATTGGGCTTCGCTTTTCTTTTTCCTCCACCGACTCGACTGGATCACAATTATTTTTCTTTTTCTCAGCGGCCTCTTTCGCTTTTATTCTTCGAATTGTGCGGCTAATTGTCTAAGGGTCACCACCAAAGCGTGCCCGAGTGCTCGTTGACTTTCGTACGATCCCGTATTAACACAACTCTGTAAATTTTCATTTCTAGCGTTTCTCCAACTCACAGGGGCTACGGTGAAAATCATTGTAATGAGTACGTAGGTGGTACGACTCGCAGCCCGAAATATTCATCATATAAGTACACTGCTTTCGTAGTCGGTGAACCAAAAATGTTTATTCTTCTTTTCACCGAAATGTCTTTTTAATTATAAGGAAGCTCCTGTCCTACACCTACAGTCATCGAACTTTTCTTGTTGGGCTTGCAAAATCCTTGCGATAAAAAAAACCTACTTACGAAAGAAAAAAAAAAAAAAAAAAAAAAAAAAAGAAAAAAGAAAATCGGTGGGTACGAAGATACATTATCACGTTATCTTTAAATTTCTCGTAATTCTCTAGAGAAAGAGAGAGCGCGCTTCGCGGGCATTGTATTACATATTGTACAAAAGGTTTTTTGCAAATGAATTGCACAACGCGAAGTCGAAGCAGGAAGACTTTCGAATTTGATACCAGTGAGACTGTTTCAGCACCGCAAGTTTACATACATATATAGGTCTTACAGCCGCAAAGTGCCGTGCGCGTGACAATTCCATTCCTCCTCCCGTCCGTGTGTTGCTCGGCGCAATAGGTATAGGTATATACACGGCACGCTCAAACTTTTCAACCAAAGCAACCAAATGAGAACGAGGCCCTGTACAAAGAATATATGTGACGATGCTGGTTCGGGTCTTGAAGTAAAAACTAGAACTAGACAATCAAATCAATATCCTTACGGATGATTTTTTTCGTATATGGAGAGCCAGATCATAATCAACGGTAATTACCATCCTATACTGACGATGGAAGAGGGGCAATGGGGAGCAAAAAATAACCCTTGCTCGATAAGTACGCACACTGGCTCAACACGGTACCGTAGTCTTAGTCGCCCCAAAAATAATTAACGCAGCTGCCTGACCACTGAAGGATGTATCTACTAGAGAGAACAAAATGATCACCAAGCTAAAGAGATGATTCGCCATGCGCCCTCGGACAGTGAGTCGATGTATCGTTGGGGTAGTTGGACAACCGGCCCAGGACGAGTAGGTACGGATAATATGTACCTACCTGTTCATATATATATACGGCCCCTTCGTGGTGACAAGTCGATTGGCGTGGTATAGATATACTTGTCCAACCTACTCGCCAGAGGCCAAAAGAGAGTCGATAAACCGTTCGCTTTGGGGAAACCGTTATCGGGTCAGGCAGAGCTCCACAGCTACGGCTGCATATATAGGTATATATATATATATATATATATACACAGTCGCTAGGCCTATACATCCAACGTACACCTCCTTCCACGTCTCGCTCGCGATCTCCTTTCCCCCCCCCCCCGTACCCCATACCTATACATATATATTTTTTTGCGTATCACGGCGATCTCCTTCATTTGGATGGTTGTTCTTTTAAGCTCCTATGTGCATCATGGTGTGGGGGGACCCGGTCTTGGGCGAAAAATCAAGAGAAAAGTGTAGGTAACCGATTAGGAGTTTCGAGAGACTATCGCCCCGGCCAATCTCCCGAGAAATTATCATCCGATAATCTCCCTCCTTGGAAGCATCCGTGGACGCGGCTGCTGATGCGGCCAACTCGTTTGTTCCGCGCTGGCTTCTGTCCCGAGCCTCTGTTTTATACCACGTGCACATATATGTATACATATTTATATATTTATGCAAAGGTCAAGATCCTCGTTCCGTTGTATATGTATGTATGTATTTATGTATGTATGTATGTATGTATGTATGTATACTGGCGCTAATGAAGATGATGCTGTTCGCTGGTCACGTTGCAAAAGAAAATGACAGGGTTTTTTTTAATTCTTTTTCATTTAAAAAAGCAAATAAAGAAGAAAAAAATAGTGTGTGTGTGTGTGTACGGGGTCGCGCGGATTTTTCAATTACGTGTGTTTTCCTCCGGCTTCTTTTGCAACCAACGAGGAAAAGTCTTGGTTACGAAATAACAACGCCGCGTTACACAATGGAGTTGATTGAGCGCTCTGTTTTTTTTTCTTCGCTGCAGCGCCAGCAGACTAGGTTTCGTTAGAAATGGTAGCATTGCGCTCCTCCAGCCGTCGATTATGTCCTGGTCTCCTCCCCGTACTCGCTCTTAGCTCGGGAGTTCTTGGAGGGAAAAAGGGAGCAAAAAGAAAGAACACATGTATACATGTTACACGCCTCATCTCTGCGCGTATATACCTACTGTAACCTCAACTTGGCTCTCTCTCTGCAGCGATTGCCGATTGACAATCATCTGGCGCGTTTCAATTGTACATATACATATATATATATATACATTACCTGTACACTTGTCGCGTCACCCTGCCTGCAGGTATAGAACAAATTTTGCAAGGATGAGGCACGGTCTCCCGCTCCCGCGTCGTTGATGAGATGCGCTGTTGAGATCGCTCCATATAGGTACGTATATACACGTGTACCTCCACACATAATACATAAGTATACTTACCTATATGCAACAACGACAAGAAGAAAAGACTTTGGCAAAGAGAGCTAGAGAGAGTTGGGGGTTGTACTTACATTACGTCAGTTTTGTCGGCTATGGAGCAGAGATCAGACAAGTATACATGTTACAGAGATATAGACGAGGAGCAAGCTCTATGGAAGCATTGTCAAGTGATGTAACGCTATAATAGCGCTGCTGTGATGTCTCTTGCGCAACACCATAAGACAGCCATCCATATACATACATATATACGTACCCCCCGTTGCTCTAAACCGCGAAAGAAATAGAGACGTGAAATTTATAATTCCATTTGGTACAGCTGAATCGGCTCCAGTCGAGTCTGCAGTACCTGTACACCTTCACATGCACCTAGATGTATATTATATTATACACACCTCAGCACTCACGATTACCCATATTATATACCTGCCATTTCTAATCTACAGCGTTTTCTTCGACTGCAATAACTAGTTTCGGGTGCTAAGTTTATATATTATGTGTAATGAATCTATAATCACCATCGCTATACATTACCCACTTTCTGCTGTGCCTATTGTAATATTTTTCGATTAACGCGAATTTTTATTATAAAATGCAATGTTAGCCCCTCCAAGTCCCGTCATATATACTTAATTAATAGATGAACGTGCGAATTTGTTTTAGGTCGGAGCCGCGGGCCGCGGGAGGAAGAAGGATGTTCGGCTGCGGGGACGCCAGGAGGAGGAGAGCGGACCCCTCGGCCCTCGAGCATCGGCATCGAGTAGCCCGAAAGCAGCCCAATCAGCAGCAGTGGATGCGTCAGCCGTGCCCCCGGCACAACCGTAGGAGTTTGGCAAGGGCATCATCATCAACGACAGCGACAACGTCGGGAAACAACAACGAGTGCAACAATGACAATGGCGAGTGTGGTTGTAGGCCCGGCTAGCCTACCGGTTTCCAACATGCTCGGCTCCTCGAAGAGGTACCACCTGGCCAATGGCTCGCCTACGCCCCCCAAGGTAAACATTTTTTTTTTTTTTTTTCACACGCTCCGACGAATCCTGTTCTTTGCATCATTTTTAGTTTTGTTGCAACTGTTGTGACACTTTTTTTTTTTTTTTTGTTTTTTTTCTCAACGAGCGAAAAGTGGGATATCTCGACATTCAGGTTTTTCGTCAAAAACAAAAGCATACACTCGTAGGTACCTACGTTTTGCAATACCCAATGACATATTCCGGGCTAGCCGCTACATGCGCATCGGAAAAACGAATTTTCGAAAATTCCGTCGAAAGCTCGAGTTGTTGCTCTCGCGCGTGATCGATCGAACGCTGCTATTGGTATCGCGGTACTCCATGTTTACGACCCACTACCGGGGGAGAAAAGACTTTCTAGTGAAAACAGCGACCAAATTGATCGATCAGTCATTAAAAAGCTCATTTTTGTACGAGAGCTCCTTGACAAATTAGCTCCTTGTCTTACCTACACTCGAGGTTGGTGATTATTATTATTATTTTTTTTTTCCCTACCCCCTGGGTGTTTGTCACGTGTCTGCGAGTGTGTTTATAGGTATATAGCATTGCCGGCGCGCGATCGCGTATAATCGTTTCAAAAGGCGCGACGAGAGTGGGAGAGAAAGAGAGAAAAAAAGGAACCTACATCTTTGTAGACGACAGAAAACCGTGAAACCCAAAGCGCTCCGCGAAGGACGCGTGCAGTAGATGTAAGTATACGTACTTGCTTGTCGCTTGAGAATGGAAAAGGACGCGGAGATTACCGCTCCGGCCAGCCCGCCGGTGATTATGACACAGTCCGTTTGGCCTAGCTATACTTAGCCGCATGGATACGTCGTTTGACTTTACTTTTAGAAAGTCGCGCGATCGACGCCTGCAGCGCTCCATCCACTTTGCCACGCATACGCTACGTCTTACTTGCCTTTTGCTCTCGTTTTTTTTATTCGCTGGACGCTGTAGCTGTCATTTTGCCGATGTACGCCTGAAAGTGTCGAGTGGACGTTTTTGTCGTTAATGATTGGACGGATAGCCGCGAACACTGTTGTATCAGCATTTTCAGCGGTTGGTTTTTTTCCCCCTCTTTACGCGATATTTTATTTCAACGTTGCCAACTCGACTCCAGTGCCAACAACCTGTGTTATTGCGCAAAATTTCTCGGTTACTCTCGAGATGAGCTTTTATTTTTTGCTTCAACAAAATGTCGGCAACATTCCAGTTACCCTAGTACGATTAAATCGTCGAGGTGCCTTCGTGTACATTGTAAACCTACGCCGAGTCCACTTGATTTCACACCGGAAGGCGGGAGAGACTCTTCGGGGATTTTGATTTTTATCAGCCCGGCGTAATGAAATTATTGTTAATATTCATAAGAAAAAAAATTACTGCACTTGAATATAATCGCAAGAAAGTGTTGCGGCGCTCCTATACAGAATCGGCAATTAAATTTTAAAAGGTTACTTTCTACAACAATTTCACATCGTATACAATAATATACATGTTATAAATGGTTTTGTTTTTTTTTCCTCCACACGATAGACCTACTTTAGAAACTGTTGTTGCCACTGTAATCAATACTCCAAACCAAACAATGAAATTTTATTTGCAGAGTCGGTGTTTAGGAAAAAAAAAAAATAAAAAAAAAAATAAAAGTTTTGCGCCAGTTTACGGGTGAAACGCATGTAACATTTATCGGCTCTAATAAACAAACACCCAGCGATTTCGCAGGCATGATTTGGCTAATCAACAAAATTCCATGTAGTTATCTCTCACTCTCTCGTTGGTGCAGCGTAATACCAAAGAGAAATGATCGGACGGATTTCTCCGGCACGTAAGAGTACACCAGCTCGACTCGGTGTGTACCTATTACCTATACCTATATGTACTTACATATAGCGACGAGATCCGGTATCGGCACGAGAGGGCACAAATCGGTAACGGCAGGCCTTTCGAGGCTCATTAGGCCGGTGCTTATACGCATAATTTCCATGCGAGTGCAAAGGTCGGGACGTAGAACGGCAACTATGCACCTACAGAGTTTCTCTATGGGGAAAAAGAAGTAACGATCGGTATCGCGTGGGCTGCAGTGATGTGGGCGACTACAGCGCCTACGCGTACAAATACATTGCATGCACCGTGTGTGCTCTCGTGTACGGATTTTATTCGTCGAGAGGTGTCAATGCGCGCGAGAAAGTCACCTTACGAAAGCTACAGTATAAGTTATAGGTACGAACAAATGAGATAAAGGTTCCATGTAAATCGGTAAAATCCAATGTGCGAAGGTGGCTCTATATATGTTTTTGTGTAATATATTTCGAAATACATACACACAAGCTCGGCCGTAGCGATTCATCTCCGTATTATTACCGTATCTCTACACTGTTCCCTATACATATACCTTGACGTATCGCGCATATATATATATATATTAACTCTGTTTGCACCTGAGATGACGATAAATGAAAAATGAAAAGAAAATGCTATTTTTGTTGTTATTTTAAATTAAAACGCTTTCCATCCGAAAAGAGAGTAAGTGATTTCGTTGTTTTCGCTCGGCTGGATCGAACTTACTACCCCGCTGCAGTCGGTTTCGATGAATAAGACAAACAACAGCAACAGTTATAATAATATGATGATTGTATATGTACCAACGGAGCGGGCTCCGGTATAAAAGTTCTCAGTTGTTTATCACTCAAGTACTCGGGTGTATTATACTTTCCTACCCACAGAGTTTCGAAACGCGTGTTCCACAATGGTCTTGTTTATTGCGATCTCGAGAATCGTTCTCGCGTTTTTGTTCACCGATTCCACGGGTCAGCATCGGGTGAGACGCAACAACGGTTATATATATGTAAGTAAACGGAACATATTTATATGGTGCACTATACTTATACGTAGGTATAGGTGTAGGGGTTAACTCGGGCCACGCAACCCATAATATACGTGCACATTGACGTTACTTTCCGCGAAGCGCCGCGGTGTGGGATATAATTGTGGGATCCTCGCCATGGGTATATATTATATTTTATACGCGTGCATGTGATGCGGGTTGCCAATGGAGTGGAAAAATTTAATTACTTTAATTCGCTATATGCTCGTTCGTCTAATGAAAACGGCTTCGGAACGAATAATGCTCGACCCTGTTGGGTAAGAGATTTACCTTAAACGCTCGCGTAAGAGTCGACGGGATGATGGTGCATTACCTGTAGACCACCTATACATATACAAGCAGAAGCATTGTTTATAATTACCATCAATGGGGGTGGAGCGGGCATTGGGTTAACGGATCCTCGGTCTTTTTTACCCGACGGTGTGGCACGGAAGCGGCTAATTGCGAGCGCGGGCTGCCGATAAAAGTGCGGCAACAATAAATATTGTGCCTCTAGCGATAATCCGTACGTAAAAAGGTACTTTGGTACAACGGGGAGATAACTATGTATGGCACCTGTACTCTGTTGATCCGTACTTATATCTATAATTCCGCGGTGGGCTTTTTTTTGCTCCCCGATTTTTCACTTGATTTAGGCAAAGTGAAAGCATCGGCGATCATACTATATACATACCTACTCGGTTGTTGCTCACTTTCGAAGCAGTGAGCTGCTTAGCTATCTGCCGAGGCTGAGATGGAGAGGGAGAGATTAATGCTGATTGTCAGCTGTGGATACACGTGCGCTCGATTTATCGTTCGTGTGAAATCGTTGATCAAACGAGCAACAAACCAGCTACCATATGTATATTATATACCAGCAAATGCTGTTAACGCGTCATGCAAGCTATGGGTAAGTCTTCCGAGCATGACAATTCAACTTGGCGTTGAAAGGTCGTGATCCGCGGAATAGGAGCCTTTTGATTTTTAAGTGCAGGAAGTAAAAAAGTGCGAAATCCACGATGATAATATACGTGGAATTTTGAAGCTCGCGAGACCGAGCAAACAGAAAAGCGTGGAAAGGCGGAAGTGCATCGGCGTGAGGCGCCATCGGATCATTTTTTTCCCTCGGTTCCGGTTCTCCCGCGTAAAAAGCGCACACGCATACATTGCAATCGTACGAACGTATGCACGTAAACATGCTATACACACTCTCGCTCGTTCCCATACGGATGCGCGAGGCCCGGATTTCGCTTGGCACGGCGCATGTTATAAATTTGCTTCCCATCCGCGCGTCCAAGTGTATGTAACTATATAATGCCCGTTTGCCCGAGATATCGATGCCAGGAGGAGCGTGGCGTGGCCAGCATACACATAAACGTGGTCCCTGCACTTGCTTACGTTGTACGCGCACAGGCCGAGCTGCGCCAAAGAAATAGATTAGATTAGAAAGGAGGATGTGAGGAAAAAATTATCGCACACTCGCTCGTACACATACATATACATAATATTTATATACCGTACAGTATCTGATCTTTGTAAAATTATACCTATACTTACAGTTGAAACAAAGTTACACACCTCCCTGTCGGGCATCGGCGACATTATTTCATTTCATTTTATTGTGTTTGCATGCACTTGAGTACTTTCTTACGCTTACGTAAATATAGTATATGTATATCGAGTTCACGAGCATTGCTGATTTTGATCGATCGATCGGATAGACCGCGATAACCGAAGCCCCTGGACTCCGGTGCCGCAGCCGTGGGACCTTTTGCCTACTGTCCGAGGCACAAGGCTGCATAATATATGTATATAAATATATATTACTTACCCGATGAACCGATCTCTTTTTTTATTTATTTGTTTGTCTTTATTTATGCGTGCTCCCTCGACACGATGAATCACGTTGATAAAAAAAAAAAAAAAAAAAAGATTAATTCAAAGCGATGGAGCGATACAGTAAGTAGACAATGCCGTAGCTCAGACCAGCCTGGAATCCTTGCACCCGCTCGCTGACGTAACAAATAAAGTAATAGCTCGAGTCCACGCGGAAAACGAGATAATAGCTCACTGGACAGGCACATCGTGAGCAAGTACAGCACTCGTCAGAGAGAAGCTGTTGAAAAAACAAACGATACACGCACATCAGCCAAGAAAGCTATAGTTTTAGAGGAGAGAGAGAAATCGTTGAAATAAAAACAACCGATCGTATAATGTATAATCAACTCGCGCTCTACGCGTAATTTATAGGTATATAAATATATATATCCACGATTGCGCGCATGGTTTAGCCCATACTCTACATGACCATCACGCCCCACTCATTTAAGCACATCAAGCCAATATGATATTATACAGACGTATTCTCACCTTCCTATAACTTCCTGGCCATTATAAACGGAGAGCCACGCGTCCGCGGAAAGTGCAGCAGCCCGGACAGTTAACTGCAGATGTAGAAGATTGTATATATATTATTTATTGCATGCAAGGTACTTATGTATATTAGACATATAGTTGCCTAAAAAGCCACGGCAGGCAGCTAACCCCGAGGAGAACTCTCTTTCTCTCTCCTGTCTCTTGGGGTCCATGTGAAACGCGCCTTTTTAGTCCGTCAACTACTTATTGTCCCGCGCCACACATTGTTATGATCGTCGTTGCAGGGCTACGAGACACTGAGCAAAGGCAGCAAAAAGTCGTGGAGCGTGCGATTGGGATTGTCGCGAGGCTCGCACTCGACCCGGCAGCATCATCCCGGCTTTGTCGGCGCCGGGGCCGGTGGCTGGGGCACCGTGAGCGGAGGTAGCGTCCTCGCCCAGCAGATGATATACGGGGAGCCGTGGCTGTACGGCACGGTCAGGGGGACGGCCGGCATCGCCCATCACCACCATCACGGGGCACCGCCGGTACTCCTCGTGTGCTCGTGCCCGGATTTTCTCAGCGGCACCACCAGGGATCTCGGCAGCAATTGCCGGAGATGCGGTGGACACAGGCTCGCCGGGCTAGCGATCGGCGGCACGTGCCGAATGCCCACCACGACCGTCAGGGCCAGGCCCAGTTTGGCCGGTGAGTCTTTTTATGCAAACATCACAGGCTACATACACAAATGACTTTTGACGCGTCATTTACTGAATGTGTTTGGGGGGAAAAAAAAAAAAAACATCTTCATCCGTAAACATGCAGGGATGCTGAAGCCGAGCGTGGACGATCCGTACGACTTGATGCGCCGGAGCAGACTGGTGGAGCCGCGGTCGCGAGCTCGCAGCATATCGCCCCTGCGTCAGGCGAGCCAGCGCGACCCGCGTAGCCAGAGCGTCGTGCGCTGCACGCCGATGATGGACAGGTCGGGTGTCAAGGTGGCCACCGTCGAGCCAATGTCCAGGACGGAGTGGTTCGATCGTGGTGGCGCGCCCAGTCCCACCTTGGCCCTCGTCGACGACTGCCCCAGTCACAAGCTGGTAAGAGCTTACCATGGACAATACACGTGTGCATATTATACGTATACGTATAGTCACATCTTTTGCCAAAGAGTCTTCTGATGTACATGAATGTTCATATCTCTCTCTCTCTCTCTCTCTCTATGTTTTTCCATCTCATCTCTATATCCTGGCGGGCAAACACAGAGTGAGAAGCAACAACAGGGCCAGCAGCCGGGGGCTCGGATGGTCCGTGGGCCCAACGCCAGGAGCTGGCAGCAACCCGAGGAGGAGACGAGCAGCACGGACTCGCGCAAGAGTATTCTCGAGTGCGACGTGAACCCGTACCTGCTGCTAAAGGGCAAACAACAGCAGCAGCAGCACTACCAATCGAAGAACGAAATGGGCGTGGCAGAGGAGGAAGGGAACGGGGTGGAGGAGGAGGAGGAAGAGGACGAATTGAGCGACGAGCTCTCGGACAATGCTCTCGAGCGCGACTCGTCCTCGTCGGTGGGTCCTGGAAAGCAGCGCCACGGTAGATCCGCGCCTCCGAGCCTCTTCGATCCGTCAAAGGTCAAGTCGATCGAGCGCATGCCCAGCAGCCGGAGCTCGGTAGCCGCGATCGGGGGCCAGCGCATCCGCGTGTTCAACGAGCCACGCCAGCCCAGCGACGAGGACGAAGAGGAGGAGGAGGACCACCACCACCACCATCAGCCAGTAGCCATAACTCGCATACCGATTCCAAAGATATCGCCCAAAAGGCCGCCCCGTAGGATCAAGGAGGCCAAGGGTGCCCCCAAGGGCATACTCAAGCGCACCGAGCGCCAACCGGCAAATCGATCGATCTTGTTTAACGCCAGCTCCGCTGCTCCCGCGACAGCCGATTCCGGCAGACGCCACCAAAGGACCGTTCTGTTTAACGTCGACAACGTGATCCTGGCGCCCGAGAAGCCACCGTTGCCGCCGCCGGAAATCTGCCCGAGTCCGCCGAGAAGGACGAGTTGCAGGGGCGTGGACGTGGAGTCCGTGGTCAGCGAGTCGCCCATCGTCCCCGAGGAGATCCACGAGAGGCCCCATCGCTTTATCACGGTACCGAACATCAAGAGCCCGAAACAGCAGGCTGGCACCAGTAGACAGGTATCCGAGGCGAAGATCGTGCCAAAGGTCAACAAGACCGTGCCGCCGATCGAGAGGATCAAGATCGACAAGTTCGTCCCGTCGAAGAAGCAGCAGTCGAATCATCATCGACTTGCCCAGGAGCCGAGTGTGGTGCTACGGAGGAGCCTCGAGAGTCCTGTCGTCGCGGGGACGAGCGTTTCCCAAGGGCTGGACGAGGATGGAACCGAGGGGCTGTCGGCCATCAAGTCCATTGCCGTCGATGAGAAAGACATGGCCGACAAGTGCGAAGGTACAGTCGATGATTCCCATGTGTTTACGTGCACGCGCGGCGAGACGAGTGATCCGGCGATGAATAAAAATCGGTATCGGTGACATATCGGGAGGAAGACAGTCCCAAGTGCCTGTTGTAACTTTTTTTTTTTTTCTTTTTTTTTTCTCATTGGTGCGTGAGTGTGTCGGTTAAAAAGAAAAAAAAAAAGAGGGCGGGAGGGAGAGTCGAAAAAAGTAATTGAGTCCAGTCTCGGGAAGCAAGAAGCCGGGGCGCGACTATGCTAATTCCGGACGAGGGGATAAGCGAACCGTTAACCGGTAGATAGGCGAGCCCGTTATCAAGGTCTTTGGACTTTTGAAAAATAAAACTGGCTGCTCCGACTCGTCAAGGACAGCGGCTTCTGATGCACACGTCGTGCGTACTCAAGTATGTACCTACCAATCGCCGGTGCAGCATCTAACACGTTTAACGGCACCTTGGCGACAAGATCATAACGATCGTGCATCACGCGAAACCTCCTTCCGAATATACGTACATTGCACCACGGAATCATAAACATACATTTAAGTATATTTGTACGTAATATGTATACATATGGTACAGGGACGCGTGTATAATATAGGTAACTTTGTTTAGCGGAGGAAATTCCTCTCGACGCGGAGGAAGAAGCATCCCGAAGTGCAAGTCAGCCGCAGAGGGTCAACGAGCCCATTTTTCCGATATATATACGTGCATGGTATACTTGCGTACGTGCGGGGTGCATCTGTAGATGCGCGGGACCGATAACGAACGAAAAAGAAGACAAAATCCGTCGAGAGAGTTAGTTTCCCCCAGCTCGTACATGTAGGTATACGTGTACCAATACCCACCATGTGCTCTCGCATCTTCCATACAGGGTATAAATCTCCCGGCTGCACATGAATTAACCCGTCTCTCTCTCTCTCTCTACGTGAGCCGCAGCTCCAGAGAGATACACAATATATACCTATGTATAATAGCATATCCAAGCGAAAGCTACGGCGACGAGCATGACGTGTACCTGTACCTTACCTATATATATTTACGTAAAGGTTTGAATCACGCGAGAGAGGGAAATATATTTCTCGGGAATCTTCTTCGCTGTATATGTGTGTACTTATACATTACTCGGTTGTCCTCCGCCCGCGTGCAAATGAATTACCGCATCAGAGACGACAGCGTAGGTGCACGAGAAAGGATTCAAGCCTGAATAAAGCACGCCTCTGCGTCTATATATAATATATGTACATACCTACCCTATAGGTTGTGCAACTTTTACCCTTCATATAAACATATTATGCTGCAGAGATTTTCGGCGAGCGAGAGTATATAGGAGCTAGGTACGGGCTCGACGCGCAAGGGGGTATACAATAAAATAAAATAAATATATTTATCTTTTCGTCACACATGCGCGGGAGATAATTAGACGTTAAAATTAGCATCTCAATGTTCATCTAAAAGGGCAAAGCGAAATTTCTAAGGGTTATATGTATACTGCACCTATACCTATAATCTACGTAATATACATCCATGGACTGATCGTAGCATAATCGTTATTTGCGAGTGAAATTACTTAATCGCGGAGCTTTGTTAGTATACGTGTGAGTTTCGAGAGAAAAATGATAAATAAACGCCTGCTCGAGAACTAAGTGGGTATGTACTTACATTATTAGGTACATATACTTACTCAGATTGGGCCTCGAATCGCGGAGGCTCTCTTTTCGAGCTGATCGGTAAAGTATCGTTTAGGTGTACACCAAGCATGTATATATATACACATCTGTATAGGTGTATATCAGCGATGGAGCGGAGCGGAGGAGAGAATCGCTCGGAGAAAAGTGAGCGCGTGGGAAAAGGAGCAATAGACGCGCAAGGAGTCAAGAAGCACGGCCGCGAGGGAAAGGGAGAGACAATGCTCGGGCACACACACACACACACACACACATATATATATATACGTTCACGTGTCCCCAGTATAAATATACAGGTACAACAAGTACAAGGTTCGCGAAGGAGCTCCTCGATTTATCACGCGCGTCCTTCTCTCCCCTTCTAATATGCGGGCGCGACGGGTGAGAGCAAAAACCTGCACCGCTCCCCCTCGCTTTGACAATCGCTTATACTTGCCAACCTAATGCTTGTACCTACATTGGACACGCGGAAGGGCAAAAAAAAAGAAGGAGGACAAAGAGGAACGTCTGACGACTCAATCGCGCGAGATGAGCAAATATATTATATACAAGTAATGGAGTATGCGCGTTACAGGGTGCACTGCTAGTACCTATATTATTTTTTACCCGATCGAATGATGGTTACTTGTCTTATTATCTATATTATAATATACAACCCCGTATACTAATATATAGGTATACCTACTTAGGTATGAAAATGTCAATTGCCCACTGGAGCTGGTGATGGATAAGCATGGGGACACACACGCGATAAGAAAGAAAAATTTGAAAGACCAGTAGGTACATAAATATTAGATTAATTGTATTATATTATGTCCATCCATCAGTTTTTTCTCGCTGCACTTGCATAAATATTTCTTACATCGTATGTGTAACTTGCGAAAATATATTTAAGACAATAGGTACGCTTTAAATATACATTATTATTATTATTAATTATTAATAATAAAATTAATGATATCGAATGGAGAAAAAGAGAGAGACTCTTTGTTCTCCTTAAGCAATTATACGCACGTTAGGCTGGTATAAGCACGTTATACTCGTAGGTATATATACTTGGGTAGGTATGCATACTTGCGTAGAGACGCAAGCTCTGCTTCCAATGAAACGGAGAAAGAAGATTTCTTTCACCTTGTAAATGTACAGGTATCTATATGTATATTTTGACACATCATTTCATTATTTCGCTATTGAAGTCAGTGCAGCGCACGCCCCCGGTTTCACATTATAGTACAGCATTATTATTATATATAGGTATACAACCGAGCGACTATACTTAGTAGACTCCGCATCTATTACATATTATTATATACCTATATACGCACTTTTTCGAATCGGTTTCTAACTATTGTTCTTAATATGGAACGCAAAAATTTCTACATGGAGTGCAGACAACCAAGCATACACATTTTAGCGCAAACAAGCGTAGCTCGAGTATAATAATATACACCTGCATGTTCGCCCCTCTGCTGCCGGAATGGTATAGGTGTAGGCACACACACATATGTAAATGCTCGGGGATTATCTAATTTAGGACACTTTCACCTCGCTCTCTTAATTACTGTGTACTTATATATGTATACCTTCTCCCTATACAACACCATGCATGGGATTTCTTGTTTACCCTGAAAATTCACATGATGATTACTTTCAAATGCCCATTTATTCGTTGTGTGTTTCATGTCACCCTTCCTTTCTACTACATGTTTACCATATGGGTATAGTATTTAGGTAGGTACCTAATTCATCATGTAGGTACATAATTATATTATATATCTATTCGTGAATATCTTTCAGGCACCTAGAGGTCCACATATTTATGTCCATGTTTGCACTTTTATTCGAATATTGACACACAATGGTAATTTACCAGACAACCTATACATGTATGTATTGAAATTCTGGGAAGGACGAAAGTCACGGGTTTCGTCGGGTGTATTGTTCGATCAAAATTAGAGGGAGCGCAAGGACGACAGCAACAACTAATTGCACGGCTAGAATTTTTCGTAACGACACATCATCACGACGAGTCAGATGTACCACAGAATAGTCCCCGGCTTGTACATTACGTGAGAGAGTGACGGGGAGATTCGAAAGTAGCTCCGTCTACATACATACTCCGTGCACCTGTATTAATAATACATAGAATATTGATGCATGTGTAAAATATATAATAGGGTACACACAGGATATAGGCATGCTCGAGAATTTGTGGAACGCACGCAGGCGACTTGGGGTGAAGTAGGTACGAGTCGCGATTGCGTAAATCGTTCGCGATGCCAGCCGTCACCCTCATTATATTTATATTTTCATAGCTATAAATAGAGATACTTGGCCTCTTTCTTTTCCATCCATGTGCTTTTATATTGGTACATATTACGTACTCGTCCTTTGCAGTTTTCGCCATCATCATCATCATAAGTATCCCGATCGGTACATTTTTCTCCAGCTCCAGTCTACAATATAATATATTATAGGTATTCAATGAATTACAAAGCTTAATGTAAGAGATTTTTTTTTCTTTTCAATTTTCGCATAGTAGGTATCTCATTTTAAATCCGAGCATCACGCATCTTGATTCATTTTCATGCATAAAAGCTGGACGTGGCAAATGATGAAACTCGTAAAATCCAGATGTCAGTCGCGTAGGTATATTACCGGTAGAAAGTACTTACTTTGCAGCATAGATTTCGAGATCGGCATGTAGTTACAGCCTACGTTGATATATATTATACCTATACTCGAATCGTCAAGCAAAAAAAGGAAAAAAAGAGAGGATGCGCTTACCGCTGCCGGTGTACAATACAAGCCCGCTCGCGCAGCAAAATTCGAAACTCTCGATGCAACATCCGAGACGGCAGTTCCTCCGATGCCTCTATGCATATACTTGACTATACCTGAAACGAGGTGCCTTTCTTATTCCTGTCTTTCATTTTCGCCGGAAAGGAAACCGCAGATTCGACAACATTGACCGATTTACCTTCCTCCTCTCCCTACCGTGTACATTATACCTATGACATTGAAACCAAAGAGCTGCATGATGATGCGCCTTCCTCTTTTTGCCACGTAGCGATGGTATCGCGCACGTGTGAATCTCGGAAAGTTTATCATTATTTTTTTTTCTTCTTCTCATCATTCATGTAGAAAACTTTTTCAACGCTTGTTCGCGCGCTATGCCCAACTTTCACTGCCGATTCAGCGAATTTGACACAATCTGCAGGTACGTGCGTGCGTGTGTGTGTGTGTGTACATTCAATGCATAAGTAAGCATCCGATCGACATAGGTATATTATGTGCCTGCTACTCAAGTTATTATTCCAACTGAAAGTTAAAAATAACATCATTCAAACGTCCCGGGGATCGGAAAATCTAGGTACGGCAATCAACAGTAGCCGTGCAGCAGTTTGGCTCAATTAAACTCCGAGTTTGCTAATGATGCTCGAACCGATCCAGCGCATCGGTATATTATAGTCTACCTATATGCTATACTTACGATCTACGGGCGCGCGTGTGCCATTATACGCGGCATTACATACATATATATGTGTGTATATGATAAAAACGAGGAAAAATTGCGTGCAATTTGAAAGAAAAAGTGATGAGCAGTGGCAGCTGCAGTACATGCTCTTGATTGCAGTGAATTACCACGTAGTCAGTCACGATACATTCAAAACTATATACTACTAAAACATAATGACTTGAGCCAATTACATTGACATATTCGGGTTTCCGTGGGCTTAGGAATCTCATTTCTCTGCTTAGGTATACATTGAATTGAGTTTTTTTTGGGCAAATTATTGATTATTCCTCAACAAAATGTAAGTAGGTATATCAGGAAGATAAAATTTTCTAATTTTGTAGCCATATTACCTACGTGTATACAATGACATGTACGTGCATGTGCATAGCAGTGGAGAGGTTCCTATATCCATTGCAAACCTTTACCTGTATTAACTCGTAATGATCATGCTACTTAATGCTTACTCGCCTAAGACCACATTTTATTTACTCATAATACTAAATAAATATATTACTTTCAAAAATTCGTGGTTTTTTTTTCGGTAATTTGAATCAAGGGATCCAAAGATTTTCAGAAGTGTAATTGAAACCAATTTGGAATAGCACAATCTTTTTTATTTCTTTGATAAAATAGTTTTAGCTGTCTAATTACGAGTCAGGGTAAAAATGGTCGCATATGGCTCACGGCACTAAAAGTCACAGTAGAAGGTAATAAGTACTTTTCGCTTCTGTCAGTATAGTAACTATGTAGGTATAATGTCGTTTTTTTGAAGGCTATCGGAATATTTGCGTGACCTCGAATTCACCAACAATCTTACCTCTATAATACTTAAATAAGCCATCCTCCTTGTAAAACTCGCATGCGATGTTTTCGACTGCCATGCCGGGTGCACAAATGAATAAATGGCTAGTAAGTATACGGCGGCACGAATCAATCATTAACCGCGTATTTGTAGGTAGGTATGAATGATATGTCTACAATCAAATCTAACTTTGAGGCTCAACAGATATAGTTATAAATAACTTTTGAAGTAGAGGAAAAATAATGGTAAATCTCTCAATAGAATCGCACCGATAAGGATTAGGTCTTGAAATTGCAGCTTTCCAACTCTTTGAGTTTCACTAAAAGTGAAAATTCATATCAAATGGCTCGAATAGCTTCTCAATTTACATTTCATACGCATGAATTTTTTTTTTTTTTTTTTCTTCTTAATTTTAATTTGCTTTAATTTCATTTGATGCGTTGTATTTTTTTCTTTTTTTTTTTTTTTTTTTTCCTCAAAAACATTAAAGAATTTTGAAGGATCATCAAACCGACAAGCATTTTTCAAAATGACGTCTCAAGTTCTCAACGATTGAGGAATTTTCGTACAGACACACCCCACTTTGTGGGGAAAGAAAAAGTATTTGTTTTAATATATCCATCCAATAGTATTAGTAACCATCATCCGAGTCATACGCCGAAACAAATTATACACCTAATATAGAGTTGTTGCACGTTGCACGAGTGCAGACCAACCCTTCGCGCTTGTAAACAAATGTGAAAAAGGGAGGAAAATACGACTCGACTGATAAACAATTAACGCAAAGGAGAATACTCGATTGAAGAGCCAATGAGGGCGCGAATGAAAAGAAGGCCCCGCGCTCGAGATGTGGTTGTTGCTACGGAGGGGGGGAACTGAAAATTCCACGCTGTTTCCTGCACGGGTAATTTCACGGTGCGCTCCTCGAGGCTGCGATCGCCTCGCCATGGGAACCGATCTTAGCCGGCAAAACGATTCGCTCCGCGCTCGGGTGGACAAAGTGTCGCGGCGCGCAACGATGAGAAACGGCATCGCCGTGCTCTCTTTCTTGTACACCTATAATAGGCTACAACGGATACGGGCACCTGCTGCTGTTGCTTCTTCGCGATTATGTCGTGCTCGATCGCCGACGCGCCTCTGTAATCTTCCACGAGCCACCTGGAGGTGGAGTTTTTTTTTTCTTCCCTCCAACCCGTGGTGCAATTCATTCAATTAAATTGTACCGCGCAAAATGAAAAACATCATCCCGAACAGTACTTTTTATCTTGAAAATGATCGTACAAATGAGTTGTGATTTTATGCAGTGCACTCAGTGAAAGCAAAAGTGATTAATACAAAACTAAACGATTTAATTTTACCGCAACGCGTACATATTACGAGCGCGTGTGATTTTAATTTTGCAAAACTTTCACTCGCTCGTAATCCAAAGAAACGATGAAAAAAAAGAAGAAAAAAAAACTTTACCCATAGCAATGGAAACAACTTTGAAAAACCAACACTCGAGGAAATAGGTACATATATTATCGCTCCAATAAAATCATCATCCTACAGGATGTACTCGTACGTGTTTGTACATGTACAATATAATCAATTCATCGCCGTTTTCGTTAGAAATCACGTTTAGCGCTTTACGTAACAGCACATATACATGTATATCAGCTGCTGGCAGTGACGATTAAATATTGACTTTTTTTCTTTTTCGCCGAGCAGCAGTAGTCGATGATGCCGCATCGGTGCAGCCTCCAGCCACGACAGCAGGAACATGCCTGACGCGCAGCCAAAGCGAGAGATCGACGGCTCGTCCGGACATCGTGTCGGCGGCAGACGTCAACTTTGTTGACACTATGAGGCTCAGTCTCTGCCGGCGATCGAAGGACGATGACACGTCACTGGCCACCGCGGCACGCGACACCACACGGAAAATCACCTTCGAGGAGGCTAGGCAGAGGCTGGGGGCCAGGGTGAGCGTACACTCTTACTTTTTTTTGTTTTTTTTTTTTTTTTTTTTTAACCATATTTTCGTGCATGCTCGATGAATATCATCCCAATTATTTTCGTCAAAAGCAGGAACCGAAACTCGCCGAGTCGAGCGTGGCTTGCGTGGAGGAGGAAACCGAGCGTCAAATCGGGGAGTCATCGGTCGAAGGAGAAGCTACGATCAAAAGTGGCGAAGAGTCCAAGCCTATCGACCAGTTCGTGGGGATGAGACCGACCAGTTGGTCACCGCCACCGCCGTCGTCTTCTGCCGGGACGAGGATACACCGGCAGCTCGATCGGCACAGGGCCAACATCTGCAAAATCACGGTAACTCCAAAGCCCGCGGCACCGGCGCCTTTTATGGTTCACAGACTACAGGTATTTTATTTGTACGCGCATAGGTATACCTATTCGTCAATATCAAAGTGTAAGGGAAAAAAAAAAAAATCATACATCGTGACTTCGACAGGTGAATTCAAGCACGACGACCCCGCTGTCAAGGGGCACGCATGGCACGTCGATCCTGATAAACGGCGAACAGCAGTCGCGAGCCACCGAGACCTGCATCTCCGACAACAAGGTGACCATAAGCGTGACCAGTGAGGACAATCCCACTATCTGCAATCCCACTGTTATCTCGGTGAACAACAATAACCCTCCGGAGTATCGGGCGAAAATCCAAACTTCTGGCGAGCAGAAGCGAACCCTCGTCATACTGGACAATTATCGATCCAACATTGTCATTGGCGGGGATCGGCAACAGGAGACCAAAGTTCAGGTGAGATGACTCGCCATGCATTTTTGTTGACAAAAAGTAGAGTAAAAAAAAAAATAATATGAAAATAAATAAAAATTGGATTTCAGGAATCGTGCGCGATCGAAACAAACAAGATAAGCAATAGCAGCAACCCCGTCGAGGTAAAACTATCGGTTGCTTTGAAGGACAAAGTCGAGCCCGAGGTGGATTCTCCGGACAACTCGCCGACGTGGAAACAAATAGTTCACTCCTCTAGCCGACCGTCGGGCGGCTCGAAGGAGGAGCTGATATCGAAGCTCTTGGAGGACTGTACCCAGTCCAGCCGGAGCGAGGTAATGTGTTTTCGGGTGTTGGACTTTTCTTTATGTACATTACGTAATAAGAATATGTGTTTACATACAAAGTATCTACATTGTAGTTACCTATACGTATACGATGTGGTGACAATAGGCCACATTCAGAGGAATTATAAGCTTTGATTCTTAACTTTTTCAAATTTACTTCAACTTCAAAGTGTCGTCGGAAAACCTATGATTTTACGATGTATTGCACATTATGTGTAAATCGATGTATCAAAAAAACTTATGAAAATGCTGATCTCGTGAAATAAAAAATTTTCTACCGTCAGAGCGTTGAATACTATATGTAGAAAAAAATCTACCGTAGTGCAAACGATCTATAACTAATTTACCTGGAATATATACTTTATGCAGTCAGGGATGGAAAGTTAAACATTTTTTTAAACAAAAATTTAATAAAAATAAACAAATTAAGAAATACCTGTATCGTAGCTATGAGAGGAACGCATTAATACGTTTTGATATTTTCAACACACATAATTATTAACATCAATAGACCAAAATATAAAGTTTATTTTTTTATGAAAAAATACTAGATGAATAGCTGTATAAAAAAGAAAAAATATTTTTTGTTTGTTACATAGTTAAACGACTTGATGTTCCCCGGGACTAAGGTTCGGTTCTTCCCCCTGGGCCCATGCAGGCACGAACAACACGGAGGCTCCGTGGAGGAGAGTGTTACCGTGGAAGAGGAGCAAGACGGGGAGCCCGAGTGCAGCGAGTCCGAGGAAGAGAATTCCAAGATCATGATTAAGAACATAAAGCTTAGGATGCGGTCCGTCGGGTCCAAACAGAGCCGCAGCGAGTCTAGTAGGGACGAGCCCGAGCCAGGCTATTTCATCCCGTCGAGTAGTTTCCTCGAGGAGAATGCCTACGAGGTGATCAAGGAGCCGATCTACGAGGAGATCCCCGACGAGCCACCACCTCTGCCTCTGAGTCCACCCCCGACGGAGGATTTCAGGGGTAAGTTTTTTGTTTTGTTTTCAAAGTTTAACGAAGTTTGTGAGGCGCATAATTGTGAGACACGTAAGTACCTAATAAACGTACGCCCCTTTTGCCGTGGCAGACCTGAACAGCGGACTCGGTCAACCGCTGAGCCAGTACTACGAGCCGCTTAACTGCGCCTACCTGTCCAAGAGCTTGGATCACTCGTCACCGATGGTAGACAATAAGGGTCTCTCCAGCAGCAAGTTCGAGCTGCTGAACTTCATTATGGATTCGAAGGAGAGGACTCGGGCCGGCAACGTGGCGCTAGATCAGGACGACGAGGAGGAGGTTGACGTGGACGAGGACGACGACGAAGATGAGGAGGACGAGGAGGATCCGGAGCGCGATCTCGAGGCCCTGTATGAGCAGAAGGAGACGAGCTTGGGCGACCTCAGCTCCAAGAGCTCGCAAATCTCAAACGTCTCGGACAGCAGCGAGGAGTGCAACATCATCCTCGCCAATTCGCCAGAGGCGCTCAAAGTACGTAAAATCTATATGTTTTTTCGTGGAATAGAAAAGTCTGGATGGTTTGCGGCCCTTATTCAGCTGATTTGCTTGTATCCCTCAGACTCGAACGGTCGACATTGAGCGCACGGACAGTGGCGTGGGCTCGGAGAGCAGCCAGGCAAGTAGCGGACGGGGTGGTGTCGGCCGAAGGTGGCGAGCTGGCACCAATAACAATAACAACGTCAGCAGTGCCAGCAGCACCATCACTAGTACTGGTATTACCTCGATGAACAGTAAAAATGGTGGTGGCTGTGGCATCGGTAACGGAGCTTCCAGCAGTGCCATACCGATCTTGGCAACGGCCACGGCGCCGGCTATTATACTGGCGAGCAAAATCGACCCAAAGCTCTGCGAGGATTGCGAACAGCGACTAGATCCCATCATCGTCGAGAGGTAATCAATTTTGCCCATACGGGTGATATTAATGTGCATTTGTAGCACTCTTCGCTGATTGTATGCACATACGTGCAGGCTTTCGGCGTCATGGCGCCACACGAGAAAGGACGTTCGTTATTGTTATTATGTATACGTCACCTACCTACCCGGACCACAGAACAATGGGGCATCTAAATGAATGGTGCTCATAAAATCGACTCTCCTGTTTGCCCCTCGCCTACAGTGCGGTTTTTTCTTTTCCTCTTTTTACCTACAGTTTTATGAACAGCGTATTCATAGCACATCGTAACACTAGCTTTCACGTGTTTATTTTTCGAATCTTACGTGGCCGTAGTAATCGGATTTTTAATGAATGCGACGTCAAGCTCACAGTCTATATTTATAAGACAAGTGAGGAAAGATACATCACAAAGTCCATCTCTACCCCATGGGGCGTACGCGCGCGTCAGCCGTTCTTTATCGACGCATAAATTAGAAAATCCATCAACGAGAAGCCCGTTTTCTCGCATCGTTCTCGTCTGCCTGTTTGTCCACCCAGCTCAAGCTTTGTGCTCTCAATTCAATGTATTTTTTTTTGTTAATCAGGTGTTGCGCGACCAAACGGTTCTACAATGTATTACCGCTCGACTTATTATCCGTAATCCCACGTATGCGCACTCATAATGTATAGATCTATTGCCAATAGGTGATTTGTGAGCCAAGCATCGGTCGAGCATCAGAGAAATCGCTTATTATTTTTGTTCTCAACTCTTTTTTAATTTGCTTTTAGTAAGTATAATGTCGATGGTAAATAACGAGTCGCTAAATATAATTAGCCACGAATTAAGAGTAATTGAGTTCGATCAGGACAGCCTCATCTCTCTTTCGCTTGAATTTTGATAGGGTGTCTCTGGCGTTATTTGCGTCTTTGCCGAGCCGCACTACGGAAATTTTGAAAAGTCCTGGAAACCCCGTTTACCACCATTTTCGTGCTAGCAGTCAAAATGTTTGTCTCTGTAAAAAATTTTCCTTCCAACATATAAGTACACCACTTGCTCTTTAAAAAAAAAATGAATGATTTACGTGCGATTTAACGGTGGAAGTAGGTACAGGTACAGCTGAAGGAGCAAGGAGCTCATGGAGTGTTTTAATTCTAAAGTTTGCACGAAGCAACAGTAAAGAGTAAAAGAAATAGGGCCACGAGTAAGTATATTATTTATACGATTTCTCTTAGCGCGATAGCGATCAATAATAATCGGCCCGATAAATCGCGCAATTATAACATATCCTCTATCCTCCGGCATCTCTTAACATCTCTAACACTTGGGAGTCGCGTGGAAAGGCAAAACGTCTACCTGGAGCATACGTATATATACTCTTCGTCCCCGTGAGCTGGATCTGATTTCCGGCTTCGCCGTGGGTACATATTATATACACTCATATATCTATAAGCGATCGAAATGCCGAGCCGGCGCGACAAGTGCTCTCACCAACGCGGTAATATACATATACATATACATATATATGCATGTATAACTTACAGGTCCCCGAGCAAAAGGATGGAGTGCCGTGTACACGTCTCGCGAACTTTCACTCGCTATCAATTTCCGCGAGGCGAGCTACGTATACGTATATTGTATACCTAAACCGAGCGAAAGTATGTACCTATATCGGACCGTCTTATCGCGGTGCGCCATTGCAGCAGGCTAGTTTCGGTTCCGCTGGCTTTATTTGCCGCCACCACGTCTTTTTTTTTTTTTTTTTTTTTTTTTTTTTTTCTTTTTTCTTTTTTACAAGCGCACTGTCTTTTCTTCGTGCTTGTGTGTGCAGCTGCTGTACTTTATACCACAGCTATACGTATATGAAACAACAACCACTGGCTGGCTGCAGATGAGAGTCGTGCAGCCGATCTCTCGTCGAGAACGAAATTTCATGAAAATAAATCGTTTCGATCGTGGCTCGTTTTCCCAGAATAAACATTGCCCACCGGAATCGGCGCTCAATTATCTTTCCATTTGTGATTTCTTGTCGCGTAAATTGCCACTTAACCGATAAAAATATCACCTGCATTTGAGAGAGATTGAAAAAATCGGTTCATTCATTCGTGGCAATTAGCGATAATCTTTCTCGCGGTGAATGCATAACGTATATATAATTGTGTACATATGAATTCGAACGGGAACGGGAAAATGAGAGGAGAAAAAAAAAATTAAATTTAAAATGCAGGTACTCGTGTATGGACCTAATGATTAATTTCGTGTTCCGTGTGCGCAGCGGTTGCCTTTACTCGCCGATGGTGTGCCGCAAGTGCAGCAAGAAGCGAGCCGAGCACAAGGAGATCGTCACGGAGATCGTCGAGACGGAGCAAAAGTACGGCCGAGACCTGCAAATCATCCTCGAGGAGTTTCACCGACCGATGCTCAGAGCCGGCCTTCTTACCCAGGAACAGCTCTCTGCCATTTTTCTCAACGTCGAAGAGCTGCTCGAGCACAACCAAATACTCGCCGAAAAACTTAAGGACGCGATAGAGCTTGCCCACGTAAATTATTATTATTACACACCTATTATTATACATTGATATAAATATACACAGAGCACGTTACCCATCATATCACATAAATTTGTATGTATGCATATTCCGAGCTAAATATACATATATGTAATTATAAAAAATGCGTTGGTGCAGGAATCCGGCGACGAGGATCTGGTGGCGGTAGATCTGGGCAAGATATTTCTCGAGTCCGAGCGCATGCTGCACGCATTCGAGAGCTACTGCACGCGTCAGGGTGGTGCGAGCCTTTTGCTACAGAACTTGGAGAAGGAGAAGGAGTTACTCAGAATATTTCTCAAGGTCTCGCAGATGGAGAACACCGTGCTTCGGAGGATGAACCTCAATTCCTTTTTAATGGTAATTAATTCCTCTTTTTTCCCTTTTTCTTTTTCTCTCATCAATAGTTATTCGTTGCATTCATCTTTGTCGTGTTGCAGGTGCCGGTGCAGAGGGTCACAAAGTATCCGCTTCTCCTAGCGCGTCTCTTAAAGGCGACGCCTTCGGGAAAATCGGAAATGCAGGAACTTAAAAAGAGACTTAAGGAAGCCCAAACTAATATTGAGCTGCACTTGGAGCACATGAATGCTGTCAGTATACTAACACATGCGTGATTGTAAACAATTTTTTTTTTTTTTTTTTTTTTTTACTCAAATACCAAAGTCTCAATAAATGAAAGTGCCATGTTATACTTTTATCGGAAAACGTTTTCGTAATTAAAGTCATACATATAAACTTGAATAAATCGAACTACCAATAAGTGCTCTTCAGGAGAAAGCCATGAAATATAATTACTAGTTTTTTTTTTTTTTTTTTTTTAATAGGAGGCCAAAGATATTACGTCGACGAAACTCTGGCGACGAATTTCGATTATACAGAACGGCAGGAGGTCTACGGGCGAGCAGGATGTGGTCAACATAAAACTGCGAAAGGTTTCAATTTTTATAAATACTAATAATCCTTCAATTGAAATGGATTATCGAATAAGGGAATGAAAAATACATGAATAACTAAACAACCTTTTGTACATCTCAGATGGCTGTGGAAGTATTGGAGTGGGCGCACGAGGACTCGAGGTTCGTTTTGGAGGGTCGACTCCTAGTTGCTCAACCGACTGAGAACAATTGGAGACGCGGAAGGACTGTCAAGCTCGCTCCTGTTACTGCTATGCTAGTTACCAATGGAAAGGTCAGTTTTGGTTGATCGATTCCAACTCAACGTTTCCTGATCTATATGCTTAATAAATTTACACCAATTTATCGCAAAACGTTTTGCAGCCCAACACGGAATTCATCGATTTCTCCGATGACTCTCTCTTTCCACGGCAAATTGGCATCAAAGATGCGACTCTTCTCCTTGTGAAGGAAAAATTGGGCCGATACTCCTTGTTGAGAGTAAGTATACAGTATTACTTGAAAAAACAAAAACAAAAATCCAGTTTTTCATCCAACGAAACGAAATTTTTTTTCTTTTCTCAATCTTACAGGAACCACTTTATCTTGACAAGTGTATAGTTTGCTGTGAGACGGACTTTGAGGATTACTTTGAAATTCAAGAGCTAGCTTCTAAAGAAACCTTTATCTTCAAGGTACGCGTGCACTCGCCGTGAAATAATAATTACATTGTCCTAATCATTTTTGTCTCAATTGAAATTTAATGTTTCGTTCCTAGGCTGAGGACGGTGCAAGGACTAAGAGGTGGTGTCGAACACTGCAGGCCCATGCACAGTCACTTGGGGCCTGGCGGCGACGACGCGGTGCCTTACCCAATATCATGATATGCAGCGTGGCAAGGAACTGATCCCCTACACCTATCTTTTTAATACATTAAAATCCACTGTCAGTTTTCATCGCTTTTTCGAGATCGATTCCGCATATTATATCGATCTCCATCAACTTGAGCAACGAATAACACATGGGAAACGTGTTGATCCAATTTTTTAATGTGTAAAATTATAGTGCGTCGCAGAAACTATAGTTTCCTACGTAACTGTATCGATATGGTAAAACTATTCACGGGCTGCGGCAAAATGATGCTCGAGCTCGCGCCTGAGTCATTTATCCTTTAATAAGACCTACTCATACCTATTATATGTAAACTGTTTGAGCATTATAATGATAATGAGCTTATCATTAAATTTACATGTATTATTAACTATTCCTTCTACTACTCCTCCCCGTCCCTCTAATTTTTATAATCCAGTCGACTTTGAGTTCTTCTTTTCATTTTATTCGATGACTTAGAGATGCAATTATTTTTTGATTATGCATGAAAATTCTTGTACTTTTAATCAAGATCATTGATCAGTAGCTGTGATATCGAGCCCCCCGGTGTATTGGGATATACTTGTAGTTTTAATAATTAATCTTGATGCAATTGTTAGTATCAGGTTAAATAAATATCATACGTACTATATGATAGACGCCTTCCCTGGGTGGCAGCCTATACATACATGACTTGTATGAATTTATTGTTCGAGCCCCATACGAGCGAAGAATGTTATATGTACCGAATATAAATTGTACCATAGTTTTATGTAAATATGCTATAATATGAGTGTAAAAAAAAAATAGCTACCCTCGGGAGTTCCGTTTTCCGTATACATCGTACGTTCTCGCTTGGATGGTTGTAATGAAAAGTTAAAGAATGATATTGTCTATAGGAATGGAAAAGAATTTTATTAAAAAAAGATAATAATTAATGATAAGTTGTAAGTAACACCTACAGAAGAGTGATTATATTAACATGTAATCTCGAATACGATCTGTAACTATTTATTACAGCAAAGCAAAAATGGATGCTCTTTGGTTTAATTTAGTATATGAATGAAATGAAAAAAAAAATGAAATAAAAAAAAATGTAATAAACTCTAATCCTTGCTCAACGAGCAACCAAACATTTTTTTAAATCATATATTGTATTATGCATAGTATTAAGAAATAAAATATAATTCGAAATTATAATTGTTTTATTTTTTGCAGAAGACTGATAAATTTCAAATTCGAATTAATTTCCATACGGCTGTTCAAAAACCATTAAAAATTTACGGTATATTTCCAAGAGCAAACACCGTTACTAAGAAACCTTTCTCAAAAAAAAACAATTTGAAACTGATAGAGTTGAATCAGTCTCAAGATTATTTGGGTACATTTATGTTCCATTTTTCATTCAAATTTCGCGCCAATTGCAAACAGCAGTTTTTTTCTGTCTTATCGTCTGATGAAAAGAGTTGGCAATACTAATGATAAGTAAAAGTCTGTAGTATCGACTTGTGAATTGTCAGTAAATTGTCGGGCGGGAGGGATAGAGGACGTTGTAGAAACTCCCCCCTACCATATATATATATATATTTATACCGCTACTACACCGCCACTCTTCCGTTTGTTTCCGTCCTCGGTCCCATGTTGCCGACGAAACACACACAGTGCACGGAATGTTAGCCGCATGTCACGAACTTTTTGATTAGGTCAACTTCAAGAATGGCGCTTAACCTCCTAGTTAAAGTTCACCCCGTGGTTTTATTTCAAATCGTAGACTCTTACGAGCGTCGAGGGGCCGAAGCTCATCGAGTCATTGGAACTCTTCTAGGTAAACGTACTTACCGTACACTTGGGTCTTAAGTAGTCAAGTGTTGTGGTAAAATATTTCTTTTCTTCTGCTCTTTTACTCAAGTAACACACATCGTCCTTTGTTTCAATAGGAACTGTGGAAAAAGGTGTTGTGGAAGTGACCAACTGTTTTTGCGTGCCACACAAGGAGTATGAAGATCAAGTCGATGCTGAACTTAACTATGCCTTGGACCTTTATGAACTCAACAGGCTTGTTAACGCCCAAGAGAGCATTGTTGGCTGGTGGGCCACTGGAAACGAGGTACTTGTGGACTAAAACAATACTTTCCGAGATCTCATGTTTTTCAGGCCATTCCTTCAAAAATGATTTCTTATTTCTTACTTTCTTTAAACAGGTGACCAATCATTCCTCTGTTATTCATGAATATTATGCCCGTGAGTGCAATAACCCTATCCACTTGACGGTCGACACGACTCTGGAGGGAACCACTAGAATGGGCATTAAGGCATACATATGTGTCAAATTGGGAGTGCCAAACGGTAAAACTGGATGCATGTTCACACCAGCAAAAGTGCAGGTATGTAGATGTACATAGTTAATTTTTATCATTGCCATATCTCCTAATAAAATTTTCAATGTTCTTAGATTCAATCCTACAATCCAGAAGTTGTAGGCTTGCAGTTGTGCTCCAAGACTCTTAATCAAAATAAATCCAATTCCGTTGTAGAACCAATAATGGATCTAGCCCAGATTGCTGAAGCTAGCACTAAACTTTCATCAATGTTAGACAGTGTTTTACAGTACGTTGATGATGTGTTATCTGGGAAGCAGCCACCTGATAATCACGTTAGTTGTAGTACAAATACTTTTTTAATTTTAAAAATTTTAACGTAATAATTTCAATTTTGTATAAATCAATGTCTTGCAGGTTGGTCGTGCACTGCTTGATATGGTAAATTCTGTACCCAAGATGACGCCTGATCAATTTGATAACATGTTCAACAGCAATGTTAAAGATCTGCTTATGGTTGTTGCATTGTCGCAACTTATTAAAACACAGTTGCAGTTAAACGAAAAACTCACATTATTAACAGATATAAATAAAAAAGATAACTGATAATTTTGTATTGTATAAAGATAAACTGAGATCTAATAAAAAAAGTTTTCACAAATGTTACATTTATTCATTATATAAAACAATTGTACCAAGCGTTGTATTAATTACACAAGGTAAGAAATATAAAAGTCAAGTATCACATTCATCCATTGTAAAAGCTCTTAAGAACGAGAAATAAATAATATAATGTAAAAAAAAAAAAAAAACTAATTTTACTAAGTGGTAGAGCTGGCATCTTTTTTGTTGTCTATTAGACTTACCCAGTCAGGCACTCTATTCCATTTGAGATAATTCTCTTTAGAGATGCATCGAGACGGTAAATCCGCAATTCCAAAGATTGCTCCACCCAGCCATGCGGTATAATTAGGTTTGCTGGGTGCTGTGTGAAACTTAAACGTTCTAATTTTTAACTTTTCTGAATAAAGTTCACTGTTAACTAAATACAAAAGTTCTGTTTTCAATCTACTAGCAAACCCTTTAGCCATTGTTGTTCCACCAATAAGTAAAACATTTTCTGCTAACTGCTTTCTTGTATCAACAGGACACTGTAAGCATTATAAAATTAATTAACTTTCAAATAAATATACACTCTGTCTATTTGAATAAATACCTTGATTAAAGCATCTAGAATCATGGTTGGTATACTAAGATTGTCGTTGTCTCTTTCCCACAAGACTTCAAAAGCATTTTCTCTTACTGTGCCTGGTATTTCGAAATTTCTTGTACAATAGTATTTAACACTTGGTGGTGGAGTTGGGGGATTTTCTGTTTGTAATTTAAGAGATCGTTCCATGGTGGTTACAAAACAAGTTTGAACCTTAATATTTTCAATCAAATTTTCCGTTTTTTCTTTATTTGTTAAAACATCTTTCATACCCTCCTTTATTCTCCTGAAAATATGAAATTCTTTTTAAAACTGAAAAAAAAAATTTTTTTCTTTAAAGAGATTTAAAATACTCACTCATGAACAGCTTGAGCAGCTAAAGGAAGAGCTTGCCATGCTTTTAAGATTGGCACACCCTCAAACACGGGAATCAGAGTTGCCTCATTGTAACCAACATCTAAAACCAAGGTCGTATCGGTTCCCAATGTGCTTATAGTCACCAAATGGGTTGGGAGTATCATTAGAGAAGCAACTTCAAAGTGACGAAAAAGAACTTTAACAAGAATGTTCCTAAATTTTGATGGAATCAACGGTGACTCCAAAACAACAATTTTAATGTCTTTTGGAGTTGTTACAGTCCGTCTGAAATAAAAATGAAAAGTTGCAATGAATCAATATTTAACAATACAGTATGACGTGATTACTTGAAAAATATCCCATGTAGAAACTCGACAAGCAATTGATACAAATCATTATCATCTTTATAATCAAAAATTCTTCTTATTTCTTTTGTTACGGAGCATTTTACTTCTGTCCTTATAATACCACGTGGTGCAGCCTCACCAGCAAAGCCGTATCTGAAATAATAAATTTATATAAAAAATGTTTCTGTGAATGCAAATATCTGAAAAAAAATTGACTAACTTTGTGTAGGCACTGCCTATATCAATAACAATATTTTGCTTATCCGAAATGTAACGCATTACATCGAAGCCACGCAACATTTTGTCGTGCTCTTGTTATTTCCCAATCTTAACTATACTTCATAAATACTGAGTGTAAAGTGTAAACACGTAGTCGAAGTTTTTTTATAGAACTAGACTATCTCGATCCCTGGATCCAACAAAACACACAAGTCTTTATTTTTATACACGTACCCTACCTACTTGCACAAAGTCTCCTCTTTTTTTCTTAACGAAGCTCTAACACAGCTCTAATCTAGGCGCACATACTTACTTACATCAAAATCAAACCACAAAACATTATTTATACTTCATTACTAAGTACTTTAGTACCTATACTCATTATGATTTTGTTGCTCTCTTCACATATACCTACGTGCATCTGCTGCGACAGCAGTTAAGTTACGTAGGTCGTGGTAACGCCGCATGGTCGGGGAGTGGCAGCATTTGCGGAATGCGGAATACAGCCTATGCATGCCTAAGTATAGGCACGTTAACGACACCTATCCTTGACTGGCACAGTTATAAGTACTCCGTCTGTAAACAGTGTAAACTCGATCGGCAGTCTATGGTATAGTGTCGGTTCGGCTGGTCGGTTGGCTCGTATCATCAGGTTTGGCCGTTGGAAAACAACCTTCCTTCTTTCGTGGGCTTATTGTGATCTTTGATTTCGTACTAAATTTGAATGTTTCGAGAGTGCGCGATCGCGGTATTATAAGTGTTCGGTGAACAACTCAAGTTGCTAGTGCAGTTTAAATTAACTGATTGTTATTCGGCCGAGTAATGTTGACCGAAGAAGAGATAGAGGAAAAGGTCTGCCATATACCGCCAAAAGATGTGCGTACGCTGAGGTAAACTGGTCACAACTCTTGTATTGTATTGTACCCGCAACAACGCGCTCAATTTTTTTTCTTTCTTTTTTTCTTTCCCGAGTCCCCATCCCCAACCAACTCGCTTATACTTATACACATGCATGCAACTTCTTTCATCATCCCTTGTTTATCTCGGCGCTGCAGGTGCGAGCTCATCAGGCGCATCGAAAGCATCACCCAGTCACTCGTGCTTAGTCTATCTCGGGGAGAAAAGCCAAAAATCACGTACGACGATGGCAGAGAGTCGGGTTGGACAAACACGAGCAACAGCATCAGCACGAGTAATAGCTTCACGCAGAACGCTGATAACCAGATCTCCACTAGTTCCGAGAGGCGCTTGAAAACCATCCGATTTTCGGGAAACCAGGGCCGCCAGCGTTTAGCCATCATCATGAGGATATTCCAGCACGTGCACACGAATCTCATCGCCAACTTGGTCAAGACGGATGATGACTTTTATCACACGAGACGGGCGTTCTTCTACAGCCTAAAGAACGAGCATATCAAGCGCTTCGTCAAAAAACAGGACAGAGTCTTGAGGGCGATCAACGAAGTAGCTATGATCCTCCAGTGCGGCCCCTGGGATATTGGTAGGTGTATATAAGATATATAAACGGTTCGGTGGGTAAATATTAACCGAATTAATTATATCAGGTTTCATTTCGACGAGCAAAGGGTTGGTAGCGGGCGATTTAACGCTGCACCTTGGAGAGTCAAGGGTCATTCAGTACGATCAGCAGACCTGCCAGGCCGTCCCGGACGTCGTGGACAGCGTCACCCGAATAGCGACCAGGGCAAACTTTGTTCTTGTTATCGAAAAGGACTCTGTCTTTCAACGGCTCCTGCGCGAGCATTGCGCCGGTTTTAACAAGTGCATTCTCATTACCGGCAAGGGCTACCCGGATATACCGACTCGAATGCTCGTGCACCTGCTCTCCGTAAGAGCGCACTTGCCGGTTTATGCCCTCGTTGACGCCAATCCTCACGGTTTAGAGATCATGTGTGTATACAGGTGGGGATTTGTTTTCTTTGTTTTATTATATATTTTTAACGACAAGGCTCAACCACAAGTAACGTATTAATAGATCCTGTTTTATCATGTTTTAGGTTCGGGACGCTAAACAATTGGGGGTATCGTGAACAGCTGCTATGTCCCCACATGCGCTGGCTAGGAGTTCATCAAAACGATTTAAGTAGATTGGACATTACTAAAATTAAGCTGACACCACGGGATCAGAAAAAGATTAAAGACATGAAAACTCGCAGCTACATCGTAGACTGTGGTTTATCGATCCATCTAGATGCAATGAGGTTCGGTAAAGCCGAAATCGAGTCCGTCAATAAGCCGATTAAGCGCTTCCTATCCGAAGTATATATTCCCTTAAAAGTTCGAAGAAAAGAATATTTTTAACATATAGAAAATCTACAAATGACTTTAAGGTATTTATATATTTTGTACGTATCATGTAAATATTTTTTAAAATGAATTTTTAATTTTACTAAAAATTTGAAATCTTACGTCATAAATATTGACAATAGATGTTAGTTATTATTGTACAGTTTAATCTAAAATTTTAATGAATAAATAATCAATTAATGATTTGAAAGAGTTATTCAAGATACAAAGATTTCTCTTTAACTATTTCACTTACGGACACAAGTGTAACCGGGAAGAGTTTCTGCATTATCGACATGCAATTCTTGAAATTTATCACGTAGCTCAGCTTCGTCATCTAAGCTACATAAGAATAAAATAATCCATGTTTATTACACTTCATTTTACTTCTGCGTAACTTTTGTCTTACCATTGCGTGTGAATTTCATTTTTGTTCGTTTTCATTGAATTTATAGTTAACTTGAAACTTCGTCGCTTACGAAGTTTTCTTCTGTTGATTTGTGGCTTTTCGTCTTCACTGCTATCTTCAATAATAATTAATTCGGGAATTTTTTTGTGTCTGCCTAAATAAACAACGCTCTCTAAACTTGATGTAGAACTTGATCTTGACCTCCCTGGAATTTCCATTGGTGACATTTTTTTTGATTTCACCATAGGATCCCGCGAGCGATGATTCTTCCGACTAACGAAACTTCAAAAAAGTTTCCCCATAGCAACGAATGAGAAAGTTTTAATGATAATAAATCTCAATTCACCTGTGTTGATGAAGTAAACGTCTTTTGACGCTTCTTTCGCCATAAGAAAATCTTTTTCTTTTTCGTAAGATTCTTCGAGGGTATTCATTACCTTCGCTCCTAGATCTTTTCATACCTTGATGTTATTTCAAACTTTTACAATACTTGTTTTCCACTTCTAATCAATTGAAATTTACATCTATTGCGTATCAGTACTCAAAAGTTTAAGATGTTCAACGTTTGAAAGTGACCTCATGACCAATTTATATTGGCAACTGTTCTTAATCAACATTTCAAACAAAACACTCTTGCTGTATCTAAAATCACACGATAAAATACTGACATAACCATAACTTTTAAAGATAGAATGTGACATGCAGTAAAGTGCAAGAGTAAAAAAAAAAAAACAACAAGTATAGTAGTTTAACAGTTTATTAAAAACGTTTGAAGTCGTTTTGCTGTTAATAAAAAACATGATTATCTTGAAAATGTTATGGCAAAGTATAACAAATGCTGCTTAAAACGACTTAACATCTTGTAATCGTAATATAATTTTCTTCCTTTGCTTTCCATGTTTCCGCTTGCAAATAATAATTTTATTTATTTTTTAACTTACAACACTTGCGTAGACTTTCGTATTTTTTCACTCTTACATGTTCATTTAAATTTTTCCCTCAGTGATGGCTCAAGAAAAAAAAAGCTTAAATAGTCGTGGTACTAAAAAGTATAACTAAATAATGGCGTAATTGATTGATGAATATAAATAAATAAAAAATAATGATAACTTTTGCTCTTTACTAATAGATAAAATTTATTTCAAGTTTTAATGTATAATAAATTCTCTAGTGTACAAAAATTTGGCGTGATACAAAAACATGAATTTTTAAAACGCAGAACATTTTTTTAAATTAATTTTTGTGACGATAGATGGAATTTTTTTTCAAGAGCCCTTAACCATTATCAATTCGCACTTACGTAAAAATTTCATTATAATATGTTAACTCTGAAATGCACATACGCTGCACTTAATAAATGATTGCACTGAGAAATCTCCTTTCTTGTCAAAGTTTCAATTTTTTTTATTTTTTTTATGTATATTACATTACCAAAAAAGCGTTTAATCAGCCTTCGGTAGGAACAACGTAGATTTCCTTTAAAAAAATTAAGAAAATCGACAACCGTTGAACCGAAGTCACATTGTGAAGTGCCCTTGCATTCGTGCATTTTACTTTTTCACGGGTGTGCACATATTAACTATGCTCAATTAATTCAAAGTTCGACTCTTTTATCAATTTTGTATATACTTATATAATTTTTTTAACATTTTGAATATTTATATCTATAGTGTCGTATGTTTTAACGATTGCGCACAAGCTCGAATTCAAATTATTTTTTTAGTTTTTTTTCGATGCTGAAATAACATGACGGTTAACCATACAAAATGACTTAAAATGCATTTATTTTATTTTTTAAGATTTTACCTTTTGGTTAGAGTTGAAAAAGTTGTATCGACATTTACTGTACGCAACTAGTATAAATGAAACGAATTCTTCCATATTATACTGAATGTATTTTTATCGACTTTGTGGAATTCAAGTGATGTAATTTCGTTATGGCAAAAACAAAGTTGAAAAAAATTTTTAATCAGGATGTCATGTACAGACACAATTTTAAAAAATATAAAGGAATTAGAAATATACAGTAAAATATTTTTAACTGCAAGTTTAATAATAGTACAAAAAGTGCAGTAAATTGCATAGAGATCGAAAAATTAACTTTAATCGAGGCACCGACGGACGAAACTTCAACTCAACGGCACATGGCATACTTGCAATATACTCTTGTAGATCGAATATCTAACACTGACATTATTTTTCATGTCGCTGAATTTCAACACCCACAAATTCTAAATCAAACGTACGAAGATCTTTTTTTTTTCTTTTTTTTTTTTTTTTTTTTTTTNAGCTTCGAAAACGCGAGGAAGGAAACGATACCTTCTTCGTGAATTCTCTTTTGCTTTATCAATTTATTTAATCGCTCGTGTGTAAAGCTGTATATCATTAATAATGTTACAATATATACTTATCCGTTACCGCGTAAAAATTGACATCTCTTGACAGCGTCGGTATTATTATTATTGTTATTATTATTATTGTTATTTATTTATTTATCAATTTTTTTTTATTATTTTCAACACGGTCACATTTTTTAATCACCCTAAAACTAGGTATACGATGTAGATTTCAAAGCATATAGCATCAAGTGAAAAATGAAGAAAAGCTCGATTCCACTAGACTTTTCTTCCTGTCGCAAGATTAGCGACTACTCTAGACTAGAAAAGGGATAATTGTAATTTTTTTCATCTCCCAATCATGATTATTCATCGTTCAATTAATTCAATATAATATCATTACTTTTCTTTAACGTTAGACTCAATAAACAGTATCCTTTTTTGTTTCGGTCTACATAATGTATATCAGCTTACAGCGATATACAAAGTGATTGTTGTATTAATAATGGTATTAATCATCCACGATGATAATCGTCGTAGTTATTACGTATATACATATTTATTTATTGAATAATTATTAGCGGCTTAATTTTTTTATTTAAAATTTAATTTACTTATTGTTTGATTATTTGCACTAGCCTTGATTGTCGGCATATAAGGGCTGCTGACACACAGCAATTATATAATTATCGAGTGCGATTTCGTTCTCGCCGATCTCGCAACTGTCTTCCGGTTCAAGCTCGTAATCGTAAGGTTAAGTGATGCCAACTTAATTAAAAGATTGTCATCTTTGAAATGATTTAATTTTCACGTATAATGTATGTAAAGTCAAAGTATATAATGAGTTACGAACAACAGGGAAAAAAAAAAAAAAAAAAAAAAAAAAAAATTTAAAAAAAAAGAAAAAAAAAAAAAAAAAACAAAAAAAAAAAAAAAAAAAGAAAAGTTCAATTGAATTGTTAAATGCGTATTTTACATTTAATGAAACAGACAAATCGCTCGGAGACAATGACGAGAACGCAAGAGTTATAACGAGATGTTTATGCAATTATATAACAACAATAACAGTAACAACTATTCTATTAAAATTAATACGATAAAATTTTGACGTATCTCTTAATGACGATATNAGACAAATCGCTCGGAGACAATGACGAGAACGCAAGAGTTATAACGAGATGTTTATGCAATTATATAACAACAATAACAGTAACAACTATTCTATTAAAATTAATACGATAAAATTTTGACGTATCTCTTAATGACGATATTTAATTCATAATAACAATAGTGACGTACGTTGAACAATTATGTACAAATATCTTTCAAAGTGTAACGTATATTTCGTAGTGTCTGCTAATTAGGCTGAAGGTACATAACTCTCTCTCTATGTGGACTCTTATTTTTATCGTCCTAATATGTCTTTCGTAACTGCTAGTTCCTCGTATCAACTAATTTTTTTTTTTTTTTCTCCTTTTTTGGTAAATATCACTTATTTCGTAGTCAGCAACTACAAACGTAATCTTTTTATCAATCGACGAAAAATCATACTAAAAATATGTGCTCAAAAATGTTGTTTATACTTGTATAGTGCTAGAAAATGAGAAGTTAAAAAATATCGACAGATCGTTTTCAATTTGATTGTATTGCAAGAATTCATTTCTTTCCTGTGGGTGTTGGGAATAATTTGGACGACTCGATTTCGGCAGTTTCGACCAGACAAAACGGAAAGGGTGTCGACATTTTTCTTCACTTGTATAAATAAGAATATTTTTTACAACGTGATTTTTAATTATTTTTTGTTTTTCTACTTCGACTCGTTGTTTGGACGCTCGTAAACTGAAACGATCGAACGTCCTGTGTAACCACAACCATAGTCATGTGGTTTCCCAATCTTTGCAAGTGATCAATATACCTCAAAAAATGTATGTCTGATAAATTTCTTGCAACAAGACTGCACATTTATTAGATTTGGTCGAGTTGTTAATTACTTTTCAATTTGAACCTACGACATAAAATAAAATACAATAAATAGAATGAGTGAAAAAAATCTGCTGTTGAATAATTTGAGTGATTGCTATGTAGTCTTGCTTAACAAAGGCCCTAAAATATTTTTATAGTATTTCGTAATACGTCGAATGCTTGGAAGATTACCAATGACATGTGTAATAACACATCACCAAATATTTTGATTCTGCTGCAAGTAATCGATTTATACATGTATGTTAGGAACGTCTTTGAAGATAAGACAAAACTGATGAGTATTGTATATACATGCATATCGTATCTATACAATAAACATTGTTGTATTGCTATTCCTCCGTGTATGCATGTGTGTAGTTAATAATGTAACATTTGATATTCTGATCATTAAAAAATTATCGATTTCGTTCTCGCTCTCGCTACTTAATAATATATGTTGCACATTAAAAAACGCTCATGCACGCACACGAACAATATATTGATGTATATTGCCAGCACACCCACATACGTGCACACTTACATTTAACTAACCCATCCATCTCATCAGTTCACTTCTATATTGTGTAACATAACATTAGCAACGAATTCAATAACCCTTACGGTCTAGCGTTATGGAAGAAGCTTCGAAAACGCGAGGAAGGAAACGATACCTTCTTCGTGAATTCTCTTTTGCTTTATCAATTTATTTAATCGCTCGTGTGTAAAGCTGTATATCATTAATAATGTTACAATATATACTTATCCGTTACCGCGTAAAAATTGACATCTCTTGACAGCGTCGGTATTATTATTATTGTTATTATTATTATTGTTATTTATTTNTTTTTTTTTCGGTAACTATATTCCCATTTTATTTAATCACATAACTTAGTATAGCTAATTACAACAGCACCGGTTTCTTAATTGTGATCTAACGTTACATTGACTATATTCGCTCACGAGCAAGTTTTTGTTTTCTCTGTTAGCGTGTACATTAATATAAATAACAACTGGAATTACAAATTATACATCTTAACAAGAAGTTTATTTTTCTTATTTATTTATTTAATTATTCATGCTACTACAGTTTTCGCGGTTCTCATGACAAAAACAACGGGGCACCTGTTGAGGAAAAAAAAAATCACGCGCTCGCGCAATTGCTGCAGCTAGATATATATATATTAGCGAGAGTGAGAAAAAGTAGATGGCGTGTGAGAAGAAAAAAAAAGAAAAAAAAGCTACAACTGTAACGATGATAAGTAATAAATATAATAAGGTAGAAGAGGTGTTCGAGGGATGTAGTAGCAGTAGTAGTAGTTATTCATCGGCGTCGTCGTCATTTTGAGGCACTAGGAGGCGTCCAGGGCGAGGCACTCGGCAAGAAAGTCCTCCATGGAATTGTAAGCGTGCTCGAGCACACCGGTCAAGGCGTGGCCTTCGTTCGCGTAGCTCTGCAAGCATTTTCGAACGCCTTAGCACACGGGAGGTGTAATTGAGATAAATAAAACGAATGGATGATGTAGCAACCTGATATCGGAATATTATGCCCGCTTCGGCGAGCGACTTGGCAAAGACCATGCCGTGAGTGTAAGGCGCCGTGAGATCCGCCATGCCGTGCAGCAGGAACAAGCTGTGGCTTGGCACGAGGCTAGCTCGTTGCGTCAGGTCAGCCTCGACGTAGCCCTTGTAATTCTCCGCTGGCGGGCCCAGCACCCGTTCCGTAAACGCCGAATCTGTCGATCGGGAAAAACAACATCACGCGCATTATGATTGGACAATGGGCGCTTGGTGTAATATATATATATGTGTGTATATATGACGAGTGCCACGAGGTGACAGGTGCGTACTGTAGTAGAGCCAGTCGGCTATGGGATTGACGGCGATGCCGCACTTGAAGATGTTCTGCTGGCTGCCAAGGACCATGGAGGTGACGTAGCCACCGTAGCCCCAGCCCCAAACGCCGACGCGCGACTCGTCGAGGTACTTGAGGGTGTCGAAGAGGTGGCGCAGTACCGTCATCTGGTCCTGAACCTCGACGCCGCCGATGCGCCGGTAAAGGGCGCGCTTGCCCTGGCCCCGCGAGCCTCGCACGTCCAGTCTTACGTAGACGACGTCGTTGTGGCTGGACATGTACGTGCCCCAATCTATGCGAAACTGCTCGGTGACCGCGGCGCTGCCCGGCCGGCCGTTAACCTCGACGAGGACCGGAAAAGCGGCGTCGCGTAGTTCCTCGCGCCACGAGGGCGGCAGTAACAATTGAACCTGCGCCCGCCAGCCCTGGGGCAGTGGCACCTCGAAATTCTGTCGTTTGGGCAGGGCGAGCTCGGACATGAGATCGGCCCGCTGGATTCTCGTGTCGTAGAGCAGCCGGACGATTTTGTGGCTGCGCATCGAGTGGAGGGCGGCCAGGGGCAGTCCCGGTCCCTCGCAGTACAACACGTAGTACCCCAATTCCTCGTCCTCCTTTGTGACCTCGTTGCGATCATGATGATGATGATGATGATGCAACGGTGGATTCACCGAAGCTCCAAAGTGCGTGCAGTTCTCGTAGTATTGCCTACGCCCATCATCAACACAACAAGCATTTAATTTTTGTTAAACGAAAAACAAAAAATAAAGTACACCCAGGCACGCGACACCGATTTTCCTTAGGCTCCGTGAACGTACCATCCGTTGTCAATGTTGCCAATGTCGCAGGTGATGCACACGGGCTCCAGTCGCCTGGGGTCGTCGGCAATGGGATCCTTGACCACGTAGAGGTGCTTCTGGCCGGGACTTCGCTCCTTCGTTGCCAAATAAAAGACCAGGTGAGACCTCGTATCCCAAGCCAAAATCTCGCTGACCTGTGACATTGCGGAAGAGGAAAAATTAGACTACCTCTTTCAACCATACAGCTATTAATTATCACATCAGAATCGCAATAAATTTCACCTCGTACTGTCCGTGTGAGAGCACGGCTATCCTCTGCTGGGTGAGCGTGACGTGCTTTATGTGGGTAAAGTGCTCCTGGTCGCCTTCCTGGACGGCCGCCAGCAATAAAAAACTGTCGCCGTCGGGCGCGAATACCGGGTGGGGCTGGGCGTCGAGCCACTGACCCTCTGGGGCGCGCTCCGTGTGGGTCTACGTCATGAAAAATGAAGCATTTTTTTTTTTTTTTCTTTACAAAGCTACATGCAAAAATGGCACACGCATCTCTGGATAGAAGGTATAAAATGTAAGTTTTTCAATCCTATACATCAATAGCTAGTTTATTTTACTTCTAGTTAGCAGTAGATTCTGCATAATGCACACTCTCGACACTTAAAAAAATAATATGAGATTGAAAATTCATGGAATAAATGGGAAGAAACGGAAAATTGAATTGTAAGCTAATGTTGCGTGATTTGATTTTTCGTATTTGTGATGGAAAACTCACGCATACATATATGTATGTAGTGCAACGATAAAAATAAAAGTGATTGTATTTTACCTCGTCGCACTCCCAACTCGGTGCGCGGCAGGCCGAGACGACCGAGAGGTTTTGGGAGCGCGTCATCCAGACGACTGCCACCTGGGCTGAGTCCACCCCGATCCAGCCCGCCGAGATCAGATAATACTCCCTGACGCGAGTGGAAAAAAAAGCAAGCATTACGTATATTGCGAAAAAGTGAAGGTAAAGCGAAACATAATTTATATAATACAAACTGGCCGTCAAACACCGGTGGAGGTTTCAGTTTGACCTTGTTGGGCATCAAGCTGGTAACGTTAGTCGCATTGTTGTGGCTGACCGTGATATTCGTAAAGTCGATGATCCAGACGTCGACCTCCGGGTTCGGGGATCCCGGAGTGGGGTACCTCACCGATCTCGCTGGTGGAAACATACCCTTGCGCGCTGTCTCGGCGTTCATCGTGGGACCGAACCAAGGAAACTCCAACGCCGTAACCTGTCAGGATTTATGTTGTTGTTGTTATAATCATTATTTTTATTATTATTATTATTATTATTATTATCATTATCAAT